ATTCCAAGTAGTCCTCTTAAGGGTACTCCAGAGGGATACTGAGGTAGACTTTCCTTTTGGGCAAGAAAAGTCAGAGAAAGCCAGCCGTATGGCAGGTCCACTCATAGTTTCCAAAGGTCTTACGTAATATGATTGATGGGTAGCCCATGGCACCTGCTTGCAGCCAGATTGATGCTGATTTCTGGCACAGGCAGAAGAACATCTCAGTCCATTAGTTAATGTTAGTCTTTTATTCTGGACCTGCAGCCAGTAGTCTTGATTGCTCAGGGCATCCTAAAGACCCTTTGGGGCACTGGGACTCCCAGAGACTCCCAGGCAAGCTCTGTCAGGAGGGTGCCTGTCATGTCTCCGTGACAATGGGAGTGACGGAGCCAGCTCTGACGGTGAAGAAAGAGTCTTCTGCAAGTGGACATGGCCGGAGTAGCCTCTGGCCCAAGTTTAAGAGCTTCTGTTCACTAAAAGGATAAACCAAGCAGGGGTTTGTGCTTTGGGCTGTTTCTCTTGTTTTCATTTCTTTTCAATTCTGCCATGAACACAGACAGGGTGCTGACCTACTAAGTTCATAGGAGGATTTGCAGGTTTAAACTCCTTCAACTTAAAATGACTGTAAGTGTTCAAAGGAAAAATAAAGATCTTTTTAGGTAGGAAAAGGCTTTTTAAAAGATTTTAATTCACTTAAATTCTGTCTAGTGAGACAAGGGACACATTTCCAATTTTGTCATATGAAGATATTTGGCCTATGGTCTGTGTCTTTTAGTTAAAGATTTCTCTTGGCACCTCATGGTCTTTTATGAATAATGACAAGAATGGTTCACACTATATTTGAGTCTATGTGGTTTTGCTATTTGTAACTAGAGAATGGGGTCACATTATGGGTGTATTTTGAGTTGCTGACTTTTTTAAAGCTTGCTTTTCATTCTGAATTATTTTCTATATAAAAATATCAAATTCTGATTTCAGGAATTATTAAGATATTATAAAAATTAAGCAATCAAATTGATTACGAATAAATGCTGTTTGTAATTCACTATCTTCAAAATTAATTTATGATGTTTTTCTATTGTCTTAGTGGGTGCACATGAGTCTATTGATATTTTAATTATCATCTTCTGCCCCACAGCCCCTCCGTTAGTGCCCCACCACCCTCTCAAGCCTCAGTCTGGTGGGCTTCTCTTCCCACAGCCCCGGATCTACTGCGGTCATGATACAGAGGTTTAAATTAAGTCTCTATCATTCTATTTATCAATAAGACTCAGGAGTCAAGGCTGGAGTAAAACCTGCTGGCCCAGAGAGGCTGAGTAACAACTAATTAACCTTGTTTTTTGGCCAAAGAGACTACAAGAGACTTTTTCCTTCTTCCCAGAGCCAAAAGAGTTCAGACTCTAGCCCCTCCCTTTCCTTCCCATGCATCTTTTCTATTCAAATTGCTCACTTCTCTGTGGTCAATTCTGGTCAGCCGATCACTGGCTCAGTCCCCTGATTCAAGGTTTAACTTTATTGGGCAGCCTCTGGAATGTCAGAGTGCCATCAAAATATCCCACAACGAATTTAAGCAAGCTTGTTCTAATAGTTAATACACACAAATTAAAAGCAAAAAAGAGCAGCCTTACATAGAGTAAAAGAGAAAACAGTTTTGTTTCAAAGCAGGAAAGGGTCCGTGAGGATGTGAACAGCATCTTTAGTACTACGACAGCCAAGGTAAAAAGAGAATGAAACGCTATTAGACAAAGCAGAATGACGGTGATTCGGTGTATTTGCAAATAAAACTGACGTTCATATTTATTACAGTGCTCAAACATTTAGGTATTTTAATATGTTGAGATGGATCTTTTCTGTAGATATTTGCATTTTAAGTTTCTTACACAAAATGTGTGTAAAATATAATGTCTCCTTTTGAATATACATATGGAGTTCAGTTCATAGTTCTTTATGACTCAGACCTAAATAATTCAGTAGAAAATGGTGCTATCGTTTAGAAAAAAGTTTCGTCTTAGTCGATATTTTCAAAGAAATTATCTAAGTGATTTGTCTGTCTATAAATACATTAAAATGCATTTGGTTCTATGTATAAGTGATTAGGAACACAAATGGTTTGGGTTTTTATGTCCGCTGTAACAGGGTGAAAATATTAGGCTGTTGCTGTCGCAAAGATCCTATGAACTCCTTGACTATCTAGTTGAGCTTTGTACTTTCTGGAGATCAAATAGATTTTCCTGAGATAATAAGCTTTTATGTTCACTGAGGAAAAGGAATGGGCAGGTCTTCTTATCTTCCTTGCAGGGACAGCTTCGATTATCTGCGCCATGACTAATGCATACCGGTAGTGATGGGGAGTCTGGCGCTGGCTGCTGCTGTGTGTCTCTGACTGGAAGCGCCAGTACCTGAAAGACTGAGTCCCACAGTGCACGTGTGTGGGGGGAATTGCTTCATTTACCTTAAACAACCTTCAGAGCAATTACTTTCCCCTTTTATCTGCATTTTGCAATATGCAAACTTGCAAATAGTGAAATCAAATAATTCCAACGTCACATAGCCAGGAAGTTCTGCAATTCAGTCGCAATTATAACTAAGGCTCCAAGCCTGCACTTTGGAGGAAAGATAGGTTCTCAAAAGCAGAACATATCTATCTACCTACAATTAAAACAACCGTTCAGCCTGGTGGAAGAATTTGTTTCCTGCAGTTCTACAGCTCAGAGGTCTTTTGGCTTCTTTTGCTACTTATGCTTTGTTTTTACACAGGGGAAGTAAAAACGGAGTTTCTAAATTTCCCTAGATTGTACTTTCTCTCCATGGATAAATCATCTCCATTCCTAGGTCTTGCAAGGTCTCCCTTCAGTGACTCTGCCCACTGGGGAAGATTGAGTTAAGCCCTTTAACCCTATCCAGGAGGAGGTCAGTTTCCAGACATCCTCCGTGTATTAAAGTTGTCTCTCAAATTACACACACAATTAGCACACAAAACTATGCTAAGAAAGCCAAGATGGCATGTTGCTTTGCTATTCTCTGAACAGCATCACAAGAGACTTTGTAGATATGTTTAAGGGGCTTATTTTGACATCGTGTCTTCTAAGGTACTTTGGCTGTGTGATCTCTGGCTAATGTTCATGTTACGTGGTTCTTAGACTATTTACTGAAAAAGTTACGTAGAATTACACAGAGGCAGGACATATAATGTTTTAAATAGTTAGGGGATGAGAGACACCAGGACAGTCACTTCACAAATGCTGGGAAACTTTGGAGACAGAATTGAACTGGCAAGCTATTTTCTCTTGTCATTTCAATAACGGAATTCTTGAAGTCCTTCCGGGGGCCCTTCCTGTACTGAGTGTGCCCAGACACTGCCACTTAGCCAGTGCTCTGAGATACAATTATCTCACTGCTTGTCTGTGTGTCCTCCCAGGAGGCCTCCTGTCTTCTGTACCTTCATTTTGATCAGATGCCATTGTGTTGCTCAAAACTATGCTTCTTAGTATGTGACGTGTAAGAGCTGGCGATCTCATCTGGCTAATACACAGCATTTATTAAAAATGACAATATTGCGCTGTGGATTTCATGGAAAATGCAGCATTTCACCTACAAAAGAGTGAGAGGCATAGCATGGACACGGAACCCCAGACACCTGTTCATCCCTTTTATTGACATGATTAAGAATCTTGCTGTTAGTGTTTGGATGTGTTTCATTTGAACCTGCCTGCACCTGTTCCCAGGGGCAAACAATTGGCCAGGCTGTCACTCTCGTGACAAGTCAGCCCTGTTTAAACCGCCAGCTAACAATTGCACTACACACTGATAAATCCCCTGTCGAGGGGCCCATGAGTGATGGAGGAGAGCTGACTCAGAGAGGACCCTGCTCCAGAAATGGCGTGTGTGCGGCTTCCTGCCATTTCAAAGGGACGATGGCTTCTGATCTCTGCATTTGTGTTCACAACCTCGGACACTAATTTACCGGCAGAAAATGCTTTGTTAAAGATGAATGCTGTGAGTCTGATAAGGAAAACACTGTGTGACCAGGAATGCACCCTTCCTGGGCAGTTTAAAGGTCAAAGCTAAGTAATTCCTCATGAGGAAAAAGGGAGAGGCGGTGAAGACAGACTGGAGAGCAGGAGGCAGACAGTGTTGTTTCTCCGACTACTCAAAGAGCCAGATTTGAAGTACTTATTTGTCTTATAATAGTTCACCTGTGTGTTCTTCAGTCTGATAAAGTTGATGCCTTAGACCTAAAATCTCAGAGTCACCAAACATTGAATTTACTCCGCATTAAGATTCTTACCATCTGGGATTTTATTGTTTTGCTTAAATATATATTTTGAGAATTTCATATATGTAGTGTAGTGTATTTTGATCATATTGGCTATGAACTGGAAGAGAAGTCCATGGCAAGGTCTCCTTCTGCATTGACATTGTATTTGACATGACTCAACGAGCTGAGCACTGCAGGGCCATGTGGCCACATCTTGGATAGGGGAGAGCCAGGAGGAAATTATACACAATGGATAGACACACTTTATGTGTCTATGTTTGCATGGCTTAACATTATTTGTTTTTTCATTTTGTTTTATGTGCATGGGTGTTTGCCTACATGCATGCAAGTCTGTGGTGCACCTGCTTGTTGCCGGTGGAAGCCATAAAACGTCTTTGGGTGCCTTGTATCTGTGGTTGTAGACAATGGGTGCTGAGCACACAACCAAACCCTCTGCAGGCACAGTGAGTGTTTCTAACTGTTGAGCCTCCAGCTTCATTCTTCTGCTTCAGCCAGTCATTTCCTAAGAACATGGGTCCCTTAACCCACTGCTGGCTGCTGAAGAAGGAAGTCAAAGATTCAAGAAAGATGGTTAAGTGAGTTCTTTTTCTATGGCTTTCTCTTTTTCGATATGTGATCTCACTATGTGGCTGACGCTGGCTTTGAGCTTTGAGATCCTTCTGTCTCTGAGTATCAACTCCTTGTCATTCTATTGTATGTGAAGATTTCACCTGAACCCTGGTAGTCGTTATGAGATGGAAATATTTCACACATTCAAGTGTATAAGCAGGAGAGGGAGAAAGGAAGAGGAAGAGGGAGAGGGAGAGGGAGAAACTGTTAGTAGCACATATGAACTCGTGTGCCATGGCCAAATCGGAAGAGCAAAGGAAGTGCCATTTGTGAAGTGAGGGTTTTGTTTTGAATTCTTAAACTTAGTAATAAGAACGATGCCACTGTCGATACAGTTGGAAAGAGTTGTGGCTCCATTGGTTTGATGTCAATTTTCAATAGAAATTAACCACTTTAAGTTGCATAATTAAACCCAGTAACTTAGATTCTAGCTTAAACAACAATGAAGTGACAAAACAGGGTGACAACCAGGACTCTGAGGAACTAGCAAGTTTTCAAGGGTGCTATGTGCTGAAGAATGTGGGGATAGTTAAAAGCCAAGCTTGCCCTTAGTGAAGACGCTGCAGGCTCTGAGGGTAGGAAGAGTGGAGCCACACTTTCTGAGCGCTCTTCATGACGATTGATAGGAAAATGAGCCAGCACCCAAGTGAACAGCACAGTTATCGGTCTGTTCTGCAAACGTGAGCAAATCACTAGTCATTGAAGGGCTTGCCTTCTAGATGGAAGAAAAGGCCGTGGCTTTCTTTTCTTTGTAGACTATTTCTTGGCACCTTAGATGTTCTCAGTGTTAAGGGATGGATGAGTCCATGAAGGCAGTCTGCATTGTCAATGATATGAGAAAGGGAGGAAAGCTGGGAATTGGATAAATATCAGGGGAATGATGATCCTGCTAGGGACAGGAATCAGTGGGGGATGTGCAGCTGGCTTTGGTCGAGCCTCAGACATTGAGTACAGATCTTTTCCTGGACAAGGAGATCAGCAACAAGCTCTCTCAGTAACAGGACAAGGACAGGGACTTTTTGGAAAAAAATGGAATCAGGCAAGAGGCTGTGGCTTTACATTGTACCTCCAGCAGCCTCTCCATTCTAATGACAAATAATTTCAAATATGTTTTCAAAGTTGCTTTATTTGGAAGTTTTTAATATAAATTTTGCCTTATTTCTAAGAGAACTAAAACTCATTGTGAAAATCCCATTGCATGAACCTTAAACTTTTTCTGCAATCCTGTCTTACCCCAGCATCTGCACAAACATGGAGCAAGAAGTGAGAGTGATGACACCAGAAGATGAGGGAGAAATTTGGAAGCGGAAAGGAGTTTGTTTGGGAAGTCAGGTGCCCTAGCTACCGAGAAGCCACCCATTTCCCCTTCTTTCTTTACTGAACGTACTCAAAATTGAACCAGGATGAGCTGTTAGCCTCTTGAAATAAGATAATATACTTAGTGGAAGCTACTGAAAAAGATAGAAGGGGTAGTCACTTATCCTGTGAGCAGTTCACAGAACCCCAGGTGGGAATCATCCTGCCAACACTCAGATAGCCCATGCAGCCTTGGGGTCTCTGACCATGCTGAACGCCATGTCCTAGCTAATGGTACATTGGGTAGAGCCATCCATGGTACCACGAATAAGTGTGAAGTGTTTCCCTTCAATTTTTTTGGAGAACAGAGAGCAAATGGCCCAACTAAGGGTTCTCTAGAAGCACAGGCGTCTCCTGGTGCTTGTCCAGGGATTGTGGTGACAGGAATGGTGTTTCAGAGAGGCTGCTGGTTAAGGAACCCTCTCCTAGGCAGTGGATCGGCACTTTGAGCCTCACTAGTGTCTTCTTGGAAGTGTTGTTATGTCTCTGTGGCTATAGTTAGGCTGCTAGGATGTGTTATAGAGAGCTGGCAGAGTCAAGGGACAGGAGGATGATGAAGGAAAGGCATTTTTATTTATTTAGATCTCTTCTTGAATTCCACATTAGCTGGCCTAGCCAAATGTGTCAGCATCATACAGTGATCCAAAAGTCAGCTAGGTGAATGTGGAACCCAGAAGAAATAAATCCGGAAGACCAGGAAGCTCTGGAGACTCCCACTAGTTAGTATAGTCTATACGAATGTTTGGTCCCTGGTACCCCCACAAAGATAAAGTATTTTCTGCAAAATGATTTCGAGTTCAGAACAATTGCTTTAAAAAGCAAACATGAGCTTGTGTTCCTCTTCTCTGAAGCAATGGAATCAGGGGCTTTTACAATTGTGTCCCTTTCTTTCACAGATTCAGCGTGTAGGTTCACTCTTGAAAGCTTTCCCAAGCCTTTTAGGGTTCACGTGCCAGCCATTTTTGACTATTGTATGTTTCTCATGTATACCTGCGACTCCATCTGGGAGTGCATCTGGGGCCTCCATTTTGTCTCCCTGATCTGCAGCGTGATTTCTCCACCCTGTCCTCTTCCACAGATTGCCTTAGGTTACCAGAAGCTTTTCACCCTTGGGCATAAAATGCCTGGAGAAACCAGGGAGTTTATTTTCCCCACAGGGTGGCCCATAGCCAATTATCTCTGTAGTTCAAAGTGAGAAAGCCTGCTCACTCTTAAGCCCGTTACATCGTCCTAGCACAACTACCAGCTGAGTTGAGCTGATTCTGGAAACAGCTCATTGACTGACTATCTCCCGTGCTTGCCTGGCTTCCCAACTCCCCGAAGACACTCTCCTGAAGCTCATACTCAATTTAGCTTCTTCCCAGGCAGCTTCCTTTTAATGTCTCCCTGACTGGGACTCCAGAAAAGGTGTTATTTACATACACACATACCCCAAACACATTTCCTAATGCCCAGCTGCTTTGTGAGTGCAAAGATGGTACCCAGATGCCAGAGTGTTCTAGGGCGGTAGATTTTACAGTAGATAAAAATATTTGACATTAGTGCTGTGATTAAACAGTAAAATAAGTCAATATGTGTTCTTACAAAAACAAAGTAGTACCGGAAATTGCTAATAGCAAAGGTATTTATAGCCTTTCTAGAGATTCTTAAAGAGAATCCAAACCTGGAGTTGTTTTTTTGTTAAATGTGATCCGTCAAACTGGTTTGGGGGCACAGAACTTTAATACCAGCACTTGGGAGGTAGGGACTGGAACCCGTGGGGTGTGAAGGCAGTGTGAACTGCAGAGTGAAATGCTGTCTTGAAATAGTAAGACAAAATTAAAAAACAACAACAAAAACAAAAGTAAATCCAAACAAAACCAAAAAACTCTGGTAATTTGCAGATCAGTTTTTATCACGATAATAACATAGAACACCCCGAGAAAGTTAGCCGTTTTCCCTAAAGTTTATTTGTTAAAGGGTTAATATGATTTCTTCCCACTATAGTTCCCTATCAGCTGATACATTCACTATATAGCAAGGATGTTATCATTTTTATTTTTGCAGATATTAAGACCGTTTCTTCGAACTCGTCTAGAAGTCACCCCTACTCCAGTGACAGCGAAGATGAATCTGCAGAGCCGTGTCCAGAGGTTCATTCCGGAAACAGTGCAGGGGGAAGTTCCAGAAGTTCCTCTTCTCAGGACCTACATGAAAGTGACGATCAAGGAAAATACCACGCCCCAGTCGAGGAGTCCTTGGAAACTGAGATCGAGGAGCAAGGAATCGCTAAAGTAGAAGAGGTTCACGGACCTCTGCTGACAGAGGTTAGTTGTTTGCCTGCTACTGAGGAAGAACCAGTGGAGGAAACCGAAGAGATTACAGAACCCAAGACGTCTGGGCAGTCTGCTTCCCCAGAGGCAAAGGTTAGAAGTCAGCTCCAGGAAGGAGGCACCTCCGTGATGGAGGACAGAAAAGCCGGCCTCCCTGGGCTGGAAGAAGAGGGTAAGTACATCCAATGAGGTGACGCCACGCTCACGCACGGCCAATGAGGTGCCACGCTCACTCACGTACCTGTGCATGGAAGCTGATTTGTGTCAATGCGACTGCCAGAGCTGGGGAATCAATCTGGATGATTCTGGAAGGATTCTATATTTCCCTTTCTCCTTGTCACAGAATTTCACATGTATTTTCAGCTTGCTGTTTTCCTTCTATTGCATTTTAAAAATGACTTGATCATTCTTACATAGCCTGTTTCCTATTTTCTGTAAATTCCTTCCTATGGTAATTCTATCTCAAAAATCAAATAAAACACGATACATGTGTGAAGTCAAAGACATGTCTGGCTTTTTAGAGGTCAATACTAACGCTGCTGTTTGTTCTGAGTCGTGGGTACATCAACTCATGTTGATGGTGCTTAGTGTGTCCTATGCATGGCTGTATGTTGGCTGTGAACTCATTGCATCATAACCATGGCCATCTCTCTCTGGGGGAAGCAGTCATTTCTTAAGAAGGTTGTGTTGCCAAGAACTGAACAGTCAAGGGGCAATCCCAGAATTGGATCAGGTGGAGTGGCCCCAGAGCTTCTAGAGACTTCTATTGTCTCCCTGTCATTGTAGATTAGATTCATACAAAAGTAATAGAATTTCCTAAGCTATTTCATTCTGAACTATTCTCTGACACCGAGCTCTTTCATGCTCTCTGGGTTTCCAGGGTGTGTGGGCAGGTCCTGTTTGATGAGAGGAGTGTAGGGTGGGATGATGGATCCCCAGGACCACACACACATGGAAGGTCAGAGGCTGCTGTCACCTCGGAGGAGACAAGGAATGAGCAGAGCCCAGTCTTTGGCCAGTGAATTGTGTCTTCCTGATAGCTGCTTCTCACAGAGAGCTTTCTGTATTCTTGCAGGCCTCCAGGTCCCCACCATTTGCTCTCATCTGCCTCCCCGACAGTGCACCAGCCGATCTGCTGGGTTCCAAGTTAAATCTGCTTCACATTTTAATATTATGAATCCAACAATGTTTTTAAAACTTTGAGTGCTTTTGATTGTTATATGTTTTAGAACTCTAAAAGCTATTATTAAACTATTCAGACTTACATCTAGGAATAGAGGATATTGACTAGTTACCTGTCTGTCTTATTGCTAATGTAACCTTGTCGTATGTCATGGTAGTATAGTCAAAGTGTAGTGAAGCTCCAAGCAGAAAGTGTTAGAAGGCTTGACCACTGGGCTGATGTCACTAATAATGTCTAGAATGAGAAAAGGGATGTGATATGTAAAAGTTCAAAGTAGGACAAGTCCCACGCGGACTTTGATCACTTTGATATAGCTGCCTAACATGACTTGAACAAGGATGACTCCAGTAGGCATGCTAATGTGGAGGGAAAAAGCTCATAATGCCTCAATCAAAGACAAAGAACGACAGGGAACTAAGAAATGCTGAGCGTTGGAGAGATAGTTTACCTTAGGGAGGAGCATACCAATAGATTATTCAACACCAAATAAATGGGCAGTCCTGAAGACATATACAAGTAACATTGTATGAACTAAACAGGATGTATTTATATATTTAGTTACATATATGTAATATACACTTTATGTGTATATATAACAATATATATATACTTCATATATATTACATATATAATAATGTGTATATACACATATACATAACAATTAAAGAAAAGAAGCCATGACTTTGAGGGAAAGCAGGGAAAGTACAAGGGAGGAGCTTGCAGAAAGGAAAGGAAAGGAAAAGAAAGGAAAGGGGAAATGATATCATTACATTATATTCTCAAAATTTATTCTAAAAAAGAAAGCAAGCTTTCATGAAGCATGTGCTTGGTAAGGATTTTAAGGCTGAATGCAGGTTTGAAGGTTGAGGCATGAGCAAAGTGTTCCAGATCAGTGGTCTAAGCAGGGCTATGGCCTTCAAGTAAGCCTGTAAAAATAGCCAGGATAAGCTAAAAATGGATCTTATATTTTTAAATGGCCCACAAAACTTGAGGAATTTATTTATTTAGGTCATTACTGGAAGGGGTGTCAATCTTGGCCCCTGAATTATACCACAAATAGTACAACATTTCAAAAAGATTTGCCTTATGTGAATTAAAATTCTTGAAACACTTTGATAAAAAAGTTAGTATCTTTGATCTTGGATGCCGTCATTATATTCTGGTAGAGTATAACAGATAGAGAAAATGTACATAATTTATTAGTTACTAATGAGGAAGACTGAGGTGTGGGCTGGTGGCACAGCTCAGGGGAACAGGGCTTGTCCAGCTCTTCTGAGCTCTGTATTTGAGCTCCAGAAGAGGAAAAGCAAACATCTATAACACTGATTTTAGTCATTATTTTAATGTAAGAAAACTAGGGTTTTTTCCTTCATTTTAAAAAAAAGCATACGAAATAGTAGGATTCAGTATGAGATTTGCATATGCAATTTGTGTTTGTTGATAGTTTTTCTCCTCCATCCTTCCCTCTTTTCTCCTTCCGTGCCCATTAATGTCCTTCCTGCCTTGATGTCACGTGTTCTGTGACCAGCACCCTCACGTCTCCCTTTTCTGCTTACATGTCCCCTCTGGGGTTTTATGATCTATATGCACATGCAGACCTGTGCAATCTCATAAGTTTACTAGTGTGCTCTACTACAATTCAGAACAAAATATCAATGGATTGTTTTTAGGATAAAAGTTCTTTCAGGGATAAATAATTCACACATATCTAGGAAAATAAATGTCTGGGACTAAGGTTTGAGGACAGCATTCCTGACCTGTGTCCCTGAATACTGTACAAGGGCCAGCAACGACAGTCCTCCGTAAGCAAGGCTCTCCCATCCTAGCATGACTCTGCTGCCCTGCTGGAGAAAGCCCTGCAGTAGTGTTGGTCATGGAGAGTCTCGCCAGTTACCAGGATCTGTATCTGCAGGAAATATGGAACCACCCTAGAAATTCTTCCTATTCTGTGGCCCGTAATACAGTCATATATTGTAAATATCAGCAATTTCATAGAGACACACTGTATTTCTAAAGACGAGCAGAAGGCCATCTCATACTTATAGATTTATAACACATCAATAAAATGTACACCTGTATCAAGTTACTGTGTGTATAAAGGACACATGTAAATGTGTGTACATATATATCCTTTATGCTGCTGATGTGTGTGGATACACTCATACACAATAAATCTTCCTTTCAAGGAAATCTTCCTTTCAAGGACTATACATGTTATATATATATTAATGCAACGTAAGGGACATAATATATCTAATAAATATTTTGTCTAACTTTAATATTGATGCTGTAATAAAGTAGAACAGACTTAACATGCTTACTATAAAACATTTCTTAAGATGAAATCAGAAATCTTACAGAGCTAAAAATCAAGCTTCTGGAAGCTTTGAGGAGTCTCAATCCCTTCCCTTCTCCAGTCTGCCTCATGCTCACTGGCATCAGTCTCTCACCAGCTTCATTTAAAGCCCCACCTTACCATCTCTAAGTCTGCCCTCCCTCAGACTTCTGCTCCCCTGGTCACGTCTCTTCAAACTCTTGCCCCTCTGCCCTGTCTAACAAAGGCACACAGGTACACACACAGAGTCCTGATACCAAGGCCCTTTATCACCTGTGCCAAGGTGGTGGGATGCAAGGCGATCCGCGTAGGTTTGCAGAATAAGGATATGGTCTTTCAAGCAGGGGATACTGTTCAGTGTTCTAAACGTTTCAAACAAATTAAGAATGCATGAATCACTTGACATGGGCAATAGGAAACAACCAGAAGAACTTACAGAAAATAAATTATTCATCCTGTAATACCATGTATCAAAATAAATGACAGAAAGGAAAAGTTATTTGAAATATTTGAAGCATAGATTTTTACATATATTCAAATAAGTAAATAATTTTTGGAAAGTAGGGTTGCCTTAAAATGGATTGTAATATGCTGATGAAGAAAATAACAAGTGTTGAACATATCAGTAGATTTTATTCCTCATATTTTAGAAACGGTAAGTATATTTGTTTATTTTCTCAAATACATTGGGACACATTTTACATGATGTCTTTAATTTCACAGGCATTTTATAATCTTCCTATTAACAGGGTTGACCCCGGAAGGTCAGGAATGAGACTTTTGTCCTTGTTAAGCTTTGATACATGCGCTAATTTTAACTGTTAATGTTTATTCTTCATCAATATCTATATAAACACAAACGGAGCATCTATAAACTAGAAAAAGGTAGTTTAAAAATTACTCAAGCATTTATTACATGAAAAATCACTTTCATTGTTTGGTAAGTTTTTAAATTTTCACACTAACATTTTACAGTTAATTGTCATATTCTATACATTTATTAAGCTTTTATAAAGCATGCTCTGCCTTATGCTACATTGAGACTCTATAAACACTCATGTGTGGCTCTGATAAGCATCCTTAACGTTCATGTTTTCCATTCTTGGGCTTCCTCAGAATCTAACCTTTTCCCTACTGGTGGGTATTTATATTTTTCCACTTTCATTTTGATACAATTTTTATTCTCTCTATGATTAGCAGTACTTTTGTGTTTGATTAACTATCTATTTAAAATTCACAAATATTTCCTCAAGATAGGTTATAAAAAGTATAATTTCTGTATCAAAAGTTACAGGTTTTTTTTGTGGGCCTTGATGGACTTCCTTCTCACTCACAAACAATAGCCTCGGAAGTTTAAGTATTACAGGGAGGAGGACAGGGTGCCAGCAAATCTGGTGATGCTATCTTCCTGTCTTCCTCATGTGTGTGGCTATACCTAAGAAAACACTCACGGTTCTAGACATTTTATAGGATATACTTACAGAATGTGAACATGAAATAATGAACGAGTAGTGTTTTCTGTTATAATTTAGAAGACATACAGAAATGCAATAATTTCTGGTGTGTGTGTGTGTGTGTGTGTGTGTGTGTGATACTGGACTGAACCCAGGGCTTTGAGCCTGTTAGCCAAGTGCTCTACTAGTGACCTGTATCT